CGAGGAGGCCGGGCAGACAGAGGTGAGCTCCTTGAGGGTAGAGGCCCGTCTCCCCGCCACAGGGCCCCGCAGCTCCTGACGGAAAATGTTACCCAGAAACGTTCGCTTTGATGAACGCACGCATCCCCCAGGGAAGAAAGTCAAAGGACTACGCAAGTGGGAAATAAAAGGCTTTTGGCGAGAGTGGCTGCACTGCACTGAAAACATTTCGGCTGGTTCTCATTGTGCACCTGAGTTATCCCAGAGCCGCCTTGCCCCTTCTATCAAGGATTCTGCATAACACTTCTAATGGCTGCCATCACTTGGACCCTGTTGGGATAACTCCATAAGAATTATCCCTCCAACCTTGTCTGCCCCCCTCAACCCGCCCCCCATCACGGCATGTGGGGAAGGGGCTCACCCGGCTCATGGTGGCCTTCAGCATCCTCAGGAGCAGCAGGGCCCCCTCCATGCACAGCCCGGCCCGGAGGACTTCCTCTGCGCGGTGCGCCCGCAGGAGCCCCTGCAGCGTGGCGTCCAGGCTGTCCTGAAAGAGGAGGGAGGGCTGCAGAGACGCCCGCCAGTGCACGGAGTGTCCCATGGGCCCCGTTCAGAAAGACGGACAGCAAACCCCTCGGCGGCGGCCGCTGGGGGAGTTTCAGCCGCTCGGAGCCTGAGGGAAACACGCATGTCCAAGAAGGTACTGAAGACCCCGTTAGCCACTTGTGCCGAGTTTAGCTCTTCAGTCTGACACCACAAATACTGTCCAGTCAAGGTCACTGGTTCTTTGCAATGAGACTAGAGAAGGCGCGTGAGGGCTCCAGTTCAGGGGAAGGTCAGGATCCTTGCAGGCAGGCCTGACTCCGCCTCTTTAACGGGCTTGCAGAAGCCATTCCAGCCCTTGCACCTTCGTTTCCCTCTCCGTGAAATAAAAATTGCACTATCAGCCCCACGGGGTGGTCATAAATACCAGGTGAGGCAAATATCTCCCAAGGCTCCTGACACCCAGCAGCAGTTGTTCCCTGGACACATCCTTGGAGTGATGACAAGGCAGGGTTTTGTGAACTTAGCACAGCGTGCAGACCCTGCTGTGGTGATGGGCTTTGTGCCACTATTATTATAAATCAAGATTTAGATCAGCCTTCTGTTTGCAAAGCTATGACTGCTCGCCATTTCAATTCAGGGCAGTTCAACTCAACTCAGTTAAGACCAAGAGACAATTTCTGATGCTGCTATTTGTCAGGTACCCAAGAAGGTGAGTAAAGGCAGGTCTGTTGTCCAGGCGCTCAGCGCCTAAAGAGAGAGGCGGACGTGTAAATGTGTCCGTGCCACATAAGGCAGAGGATGCTGAGGCACTGGCAGGACGGCTCCCCCTGGAGGGGGTGAGGCAGGTGACCTGGGAGGGCGAGCTCATTAAAGGCACAGGCTGGGAAAGCACAAGGCAGCTGCCTTGCTTGGAGGTGACTCAGGAGGATGCTAGCATGAGGGCGGCAGGGAGGGAGCTGGGCAGCTGTGGGGCAGGAGACTCGGCACATGGAAAGTTTGTATTCGAATACCGGGGAGTACCAGGGGCACCCCTAAGGTGAAGGCATGACAGGCTCTGATCTAAGGCGGCAGCAATTGGCCTCCCCCTCCCCCGCTTTCAGCATGGATTTCTCTAGCTGTGCCCAAAGGAGAACAATTCACCAGTGGACTGATGAGAACGGAGAGCTGCTAGGAGGAGGATGGGGTAGAGGTGAAGGAGGTCAAGGGTATCTGAAGAGCCAGCCAAGGGGTGTGGCAGCCGGGGAGAGAATGGGTCAGGACAGTGGAAGCGGGAAGAATTGGAGCGAGCTAATGGAGAGTCTGAGGGAACTGCCTTGGTCATGTGGCAGCAGAAAACCCAGTGTGTCACTCCATCCCTGGGGGCCCCAAGGACCTACTTTGGGTCCACCCGTCAGCTCTGTGAGTGGCGTCTGGAGGAAGAAGGCGGACACGATGAGGTAGACTTCCGGAATGTGAACGTGGTGGGCCAGAAAGTCATTCAAGACCCGGAATCCAGGAAGCAGGCAGGGGCCCTGGTCGGGCGCAGGAGGGTGGCTCTTCAGGTTATCTATGGATCCGAAGGGGCACACAATGCCACTGAGAACAATGCAATTGCTTCTGGCCACGGTGGGGACTGGCACACCAGGGAATCCCCTGCCACCCACTCCCCCCAGAAATGCGGTTCGGAATACACGCCATCACACAGGGGCACAGACAACGCTCCACAGGATCCTTTCCCTGTTCCTGACATGCGCACCCATCAGGATGTCCGCGCCTTCTGCGCAACGTTCCACCCAGGATCCCGCAGGCAAGCCGTCCTTAAAGCGCTCGCGCAGGGCGGGGCTCGACAGAAAGTGCAGCAGCAGCTTCAGGCCCAGCACAGTGGTGCTGGGGTGCAGGTGGCCCTGCAGGAGCAGCAGAAACCAGCCGGGCCCCAGGCTCAGGAACACCTCCTCCATTGTCCTAGGAGACCAACAAATGCAAGCGTCATGTCCAGAGACGATGAACAACATCCGGCCTCACTAGTCACCTAGGAAGGCAAATTAGGATTAGCATCTCAATACCACGTAGCAAGACACAGATCGCATTTTCAAGGAACGGTAAAATAAACGCTGGCAGAGTTGCTGCAAAGTGGTTGAATTTGTCTATGAATGGCTGACGTGTAAATTGGTCAAAGGTTTTCAAAGCAATTGGCAACTATGTATCAATAGATGTGAAGCCTGCAGGCCCAGGGGGAGCTGTACTCCACTGATATTCACACTCATGCAGTGTCTGATGGCCATCCTTCTAATTACAGCAATATCTCTATATATAAAAGGCTAAGCGACCTGCCAACTGGCCGGTAGTATGACGTGCACTGACCACCAGGGGGCACACGCTCAGCGCAGGAGCTGCCAAGCGAGAGCAACTTTGCAAAGTGGCCTCTTGCACTCCGGAACCCCTCAGGGGATGTCGGACTGCTGGTTTTGGCCCAATCCCTGCAGGCCAGGCCGAGGGACCCGCCACCTGCCAGAGGAACCCGGGACCCGGCTCACTCTGCAGACTCCCTTCGAGCCCTGGCACCACCTAAGGTGCGGCAGGCTGGGGAGGGACCACAGGAGGTTGGCTCCAGGGCATGTCCAGCCCATCTCACCCAGTCCCGCCTTGCCAGCCACCTTCTAATTAATTTCCTTTCAATGTGCACTGGGCCTCTAGTAGTCACATAAAACAGAAATGGTTATTTACCTCCCTTTTGAAATACACTGGTCAAAACTAATCTAAACTGAATTGTTCGAAGTGTCTGCATCTTTATCAGTTTAGGCCAAAAAAAATTACATGATTTACTATCAGGTCAAAAAATGATTTTAAAATGATGAGTCTGGCTAATACAGACTTGCTAGAGGGAACTGGGGAGCAGGGAGATGGGCAGCAACCCTAGAGGCAATGGCTCAGCAAAGACCTGGCCTCCTGGGAGCCAGGGAAGGTCTGCCTGTCCCAGACAGTGTTCTCAGCATCAGCTGCCAGACTAGGCATGGTGAGGGTGTGGCCACCGGGCTAGGAACCAACAGACTGCTCTGTCTTCTAGCCTGTCTCTGAACTAACTAACTGCATGACTTTAGCAGAACTCTTGATGTGCTCTGGTTATATCCTCAATGATGGTGATAGTGATAGTGATGGTGATGGTGATGAGGATGAGGGTGAGGGTGATGAGGATGAGGATTGTGATGGTGATGAGGATGAGGATGAGGATGATGGTGATGGTAATGAGGATGAGGATGCTGGTGATGCTGGTGGTGATGGTGATGAGGTGATGGCGATAGTGATGAGGATGATGGTGAGTGTGAGGGTAATGAGGATGAGGGTGAGGGTGATGAGGATGAGGATTGTGATGGTGATGAGGATGAGGATGAGGATGATGGTGATGGTAATGAGGATGAGGATGCTGGTGATGCTGGTGGTGATGGTGATGAGGTGAGGTTGATGGTGATGAGGATGATGGTGAGGATGAGGGTGATGGTGAGGGTGAGGGTGATGAGGATGATGGTGAGGATGAGAGTGATGGTGATGAGAGCGATGGTGATGAGGATGAGGGTGATGGTGATGAGAGTGATGGTGATGAGAGTGATGGTGATGATGGTGATGAGGATGATGGTGGTGCTGGTGGTGATGGTGATGGTGGTGATGAGGATGATAAGAATGAGGTTGGTGCTGGTGGTGCTGATAATGATGGTGGTGTTGGTGATGATAGAAGTTTGCTTATGGAGTATTTACAGTATCCTAGGCACCACACTCCAGGCTACCCACATGTTAATTTCCATCTACAGCAAGTACTATTTTTATCTTTACATAGACGAGTAGAAGAGAGGCATTGAGGTCTTGAGTTACCTCCCCAAAGTCTCTGGGAACAGAACTGGGATTTGAACCCAGGGGGTCTAACATATGAGCCCAGATGCTAAGCAATACACTACATTTCCTTTTCAAACATAAGGGGAAGGAAGGGTTTAGACTAGCTCATCTCCAAGTTCCCCAGTTCCACCGTGTTTTAATTCTAGCAATGTAAATACTTATGGGCTGGCAAATTTTTAAGCACTATCTGCAAAGCGTTTTTACTGAGGAGTAACCCCCACTGCTCCCCCAAACATACATAAACACTAAAATATCAATTTGGAAAGAGCAAGGATCTGGGCTGACATGCTCAGCACCACACCCTCACATCAAGGCACAGTGTCTGGCACATAGTAGGTGCTCACCAAATGACTGTTAAATAAATGACTCCAGGGTTGGAGGTAAAGCAATCAGTGGGAGAAAGGATGGGATTTTATGATTATACATCATTTTGAAAGTTGATTGAAGGCAGATACTTCTTTTTCCAACTTGGGAAAATAACTAGGTAACTAACAGTAAAGAGCAGAAGAATTTGGCAAGCCTTTTCCTTGATAGATGTTATTTAGACTAACCATTTCTCCATTCTATTGTCTGCCAAATAAAGGACATCAAAATTAGTAATTGTCACAACTGCCAAAACAATAACAATTACACTGGAGCAATGGTGACAAAAGGAGTTTATTGTAATTATACCAAATCTGTTTTGAGTTACTATGCCCATTAAACATTTTCATTGGAATATCTTAGGGCAAGGTCTGCTTTATCGGGTGGCGGGACTATAATTTTCTTTCTGACTAGTGCAGAAAACACACTGCAGACAGCTGACTCTGAGATACTAAACTTTTCATTAAGGAAAGGTTTTAACACCGCGCCCTGTACGAGGCAACCTAATGCCAAGTCGCGCTTCCTGGAGCTACTTACTCAGAGGACAGATGAAGTTGGGAGGAAGACACTACACCGAGCAGCATCTCCAGCAGCTGGTTTCTGAGCCAGATTGTCTTTCCAGATGTTTGGCTTCCAGCTACAAAAGAGGCCATTTAGATTTGAGAGGGAACGGATGTAAAGAGACTTATTTTCTGCAGTAAGCCATCACAGTCTCCAAATGCTTATTTCATTCAGGCATTAGGCCATGGAGGGGACTCCAAATTTTGTCATTCAATTCTAGACTTCAATACAATGCTTTTAAAATATTTTCAGAAAATGTTCTTAACGTTGCCTCTAACTAGAGATGTTTTCCATCTCCCTTCTTTCACACACACACACACTCCTTAAAATGTATCTTGCAGAAGAGGAATTCTTTAATTATCATGGGCTGCAATGTTTCTTGAGCATCTAAACGGCCGGGTCTAACGAGGCATTGGGGGTAGTGGGTGCAGACCCTGGTTCTCCACCTCGGGCCCTGCTCTCCAGCAGCTCCCATCACACACACACACTCCTTAAAAATCTATCTTACAGAAGAAGAATTCTTTAATTATCATGGGCTGCAATGTTTCTTGAGCATCTAAATGGCCGGGTCTAGCGAGGCATTGGGGGTAGCGGGTGCAGACCCTGGTTCTCCACCTTGGGCCCTGCTCTCCAGCAGCTCCCTGGCGAGGCTTTGGCACGCCGATGCTGCGGTAAAAATAGAGCTTGAGGAATAGCAAGAGGTTACAGACCCAGTGGGGAAAGGAGCTGTACTTCTAGGTGTTATTAAAGCCCCAAGGCACAGGTTAACACTGTCTCAACAGATGATATTCTTACAAAAGATTCTGAATGAAGGGCAGCTGACTAAGTATCCTCACTGTTGGCCCATTTTCCATTCATTCACTCCCTAGGTTGGCCGTTTATTTTTCAGCCACTGTGGGCACAGACACCACGCTGTAGCGATGGAACTGTGGAAGCTGTGGAAGACTTGGCGTCAGATCCCCCTCTATTTGGGTTCTGGTCCACGTTCTTATTAAGGCCCTAATATCTGAGCCTCAGTTTCCTCATCTGCAAAATGGAAATGGTAATGCCTACTTTTCAGTCTAGATCTAGGAGAAGAGAGAACTTGTTTAGATTGAGCAGCGCTGGCCAGGCGAATCTTTTGCACCAGCCCTGTCCATGCAGTAGCCACCAGCCTCCTGTGGTTATCAAGCCCTGGGACTGTGGCCGGTGGGACTGAGGGATGGACTTTTTAACTGCACTTCATTTCAAGTCATTAAAATGGCACATGGGTTTGAAGCTCCCGAGCCAGACAGTACACCTGGAGGGCCAGGACAGAGCGCAGTGCCTGCTCCCTCACACCGGCCCCAGCAGAGGGGACACGGAACACGACAGCTGCTGCTCTGGGCCTGGTGGGGTGACACTCAGAGATACAGCCCAGCCTGTGCACAGAGGAGCCCGGGCTTTAGAAGCACAAGGTGACCAGGTGGCTCAGAGGGACTGGGAATGGCTAGTGCAGCGGGCACAGGGCAGGGCAGACATCCCTGGGAGGGAGCCGCACACAGGCAGCATGGACAGCAGGCGGCCACTGCGATTGGGCCCCACAGGGCTTCCAAGTGCGGGAGCGGGCCTTGGCGCAGGGGGGCCACCGGGAGGCAGGCATGGCTGGGCCTGAGGCCCCCGCTGGGCTACAGAAAACTGCGTGTTATCTGGAAACCATTCCAGGCCAGAAAGAGGGAATATGCAGTTCAACTTGATGTGTGACCCTAATCATAACACTGTGACCTCACAGGCCCCTATTTGGGAACAACCCTCAACCCCGGTGCCTTCCCTCCTTTGTCTCAACCCTGCCCTCTACACCTGGCCCAGCACGTGTGGCTCTCGGGCTGGTGGCTGGAGCGGTCTCCTCACCAGGCCCCGAGGGCTCCAGGGCCCTGTCCGCGAAGATCTGCCGCTCATCCACCGAGGCGGGCTGGAGGGTGTACACCACGAACAGCGCGATCCTTAACAGAGAGAAGGACAGGCTCAGTCGGGCTCCTGTTGCTGAACACACGTGAAGGTTTCCTACACAGAACACCCCAATGCTGCTGCAAGGCAGGGTTTGAGGGGAGCACGCTATTCTGTGGTTAATGCAATATTTCCAGAGACTTCTACTGTCTGTCAGGATTCATCAGAGCAGTTAACTTGGGGCTGCCAGGTCAACAGAGCAGGTGGCGGTGAAGATGGACGAGGTTAAATGTCATGGGCTGGGCTGTTTAGAAAGTCTGCAAAGGGCAGGCGCACTGAGACCTCAGCCAGTGGTGATGGCTGTGCCCTTAGAAAGTCTGAATTCCTGGCACGACAGGTGTGTCAGCACCGGGGAGCGGGGCGCCCACAGCCCTGCTGGGGTCTTGCATATGCACCCTCCTCTCAACAGAGACCTGGAACCCGCCCTGCACTGAAGGGGAGGGAGGCTGGGGTGAGTGTGGTCAGGGGAGGGCTGGGCCTACAGCCTCTGGTAAACCAGCCCGAGCCCTGCCCTTGCCCTGGCAGCTGGGCGCAGTACCTGAGCAAGTCCTGGACACTGAAGTGGCCCCTCAGCTGCCAGCCCAGGATGGCGATGATGGTGGGGATCCTGGAGGGGGCGAGGCCCGGCTCATTGAAGAGGAAGACGAGCCTGGGTATCAGCTGTGCCTGGTGGGCCACGCCAGCGCTCCGGGGGCCTTCCCTGCGAGCCCGGGAGAGAGGTGGTGAAAGCTTTCTGTGTTTCTGCTGAAAAGGTTTTCCAGGCCGGCGTGCTCTGTGACCCTCGACTCCAATGCCGCCAGACGAACTCAGAGCAAAGACAGCCACTGGAGTGTGACCCTGAGCACCCCACACCCAGGCCTGGCCTGGCGAGCCGGCTGGTGGGCGCTCTTCCTGCCCCAAGCCACACAGTGGGTGAGCACTCCTCGGCAGTCAGGGGCAACGAGGCAGAATTCAAGCACCCTCGGCCCCTCCTCAAGTTCATCACATGCTCTTTCCAATAAATTCTACTCCCCTCCCTCTCCCCCTCCCCCCCAGAAAACAGCTCCAGGGTGCACGCCCACCTCTTAGAAAACAACAGGCACAGAGAGAACGTGGAAAATGGGAAGGAAGCAAAGGTGGAGGGAGGTGAAATGGGTGGAATGCTCCTTCGGGAAGTGCCTTTTGGCTCTAACATCTGCCACACTGGGTCCCTGACACCCTGACACTCGAGAGGCAGAGCCAGCCCAGTCTGTGTGTCTGTTGCTTGTGAGCACTGCCCCCTCCCCCTCCCATCTTTCCTGAGCTTTTTCTGCATTTCCTCTCCCCTGCTGCCCGGAGGGCCTCCTTCCCCTCTCCCCTTGCAGCCCCAGAAGCCCATGAAATGCAATGGGGACACGTTGCCCCCTGCCTCCCTCCTCCCTTATCCTGATCACAGCGCACAGCCACTGGGTTTCTTCGGGAGCCACTCCTTCCTAACTCCCCTCCACTCCCCGGACATTGCAGTCCTGCTCTGGCCTGTGAGGGACCAAGCAGCACTTGCTGGGCTGTGCTGAGCACAGGAGGTGCCCTGAGGTGCCTGCAGCCCTGCCACAGAGACCGCGGAAAGGACAGAGGAAGAAAGCAGAGACTAGATGGGGACAGACCTCAGATTAAAGCGGTGTGAGTGGCGCCAGCCCCAGGGGAGCTTGGTCCCTTTCTACTGTATGAGCAATGAATTCCTTTCTCCACTTCCTCCCACCCTTTCCTCTCTCTCTTCCTTCCCTGAGTTGGTTGGAGTGTGGTTCTGCCACTTACAACCAAAGGGCCCCAAATGCCCTGCCTCCGAGGGGACTGGCGGGAGACACCCGGGAGAGAGGGTGGGAGAGGTGTGTCCCTTCTGCTGGCCACACTGAGCCCTGAAACCAGAGCCAGGAAGCTGCTTCTGAGGCCCCCAAACCTGCAGGGGAGACACACATGCCCACATGTGTGAGCCTCGGGGAAGGTGCTGCTATAGACTGTATGTTTGTGACCCCCAAATTGTGTTGTTGTGGGGTTTTTTTGGTTAATCCTCACCCCAGGATATTTTTCCACTGATTTTTTTGAAAAAACGGAAGAGAGGAGTAGAGACACAGAGAGAGAAACATTGATGTGAGAGAGACACATCACTTGGTTGCTTCCCACACTCACCCTGACCAGGGCTGGGGATGGAGCCTGCAACGGAGGTGCATGCCCTTGACCGGAATCGAATCCAGGACCCTTCAGTCTGAGGGCCAAAGCTCCACCCACTGAGCCAAACTCGCTAGGGCTCTCTGTTGCTGTTGCTTGTTATTCCCCTAAATTCTTATGTGGAAACCTACCCCTCAGCAGTGGGCTTTGGGAGGGGAATAGGTCGTGAAGGTGATGCTCCTGATGGGATTAGTGCTCTCACGAGAGACCCCAGTGACCTTCCCTGCCCCTCCCACGGTGCAGACAGTGAGAAGAGAGCCACCTCCACATTGGAGGCCGGTCCTCACCAGACCCTCAGCCTCCAGCCTGGGAGGAATAGATTCCGCTGTTTATAAGCCACCATCCTCGGCAGTTTTGTTACAGAAGCCTGAGCCCTCTAAGCCGGACGCGCTGCCTCAGGGGCAGACCCTCAGCCTCCAGCCTGGGAGGAATAGATTCCGCTGTTTATAAGCCACCATCCTCGGCAGTTTTGTTACAGAAGCCTGAGCCCTCTAAGCCGGACGCACTGCCTCAGGGGACAAGCACTGAGAGAGAGAGAGAGAGAGAGAGAGAGAGAGAGCGAGGGAGGGCCGTGTGGGCGTGCCCTGCCCTCTCAGTCCCTTTTCTGGTGAGAAACCCTGGCTTCTAACGTCCAGCGGCCGAAGCCCAGCCTACCTTGGCGACCGGAGGATTTCCAGGAGGTGGGAGAAGAGGGATTGCTCCACGTTGTCCGCGGCTCTCATCCAGAGCTGGAAGACAGGAGTGCTGGTGACACAAGGCCCAAGAACTGGCCCCCGACAGCGCGGACGCATAGTGCGCTGGGCTGGTCTCCTCGGCCTGGAGTCACCAACCCAGTTTCCCTCTGGAATTGGACCCAATCTCCTGACAGCGTGGGGGCTTTGCCCGGGGAAAGCTCAAACACCCTGTCTCTCCTCATCTCCGCGGCTGCCTGGCCCTAAACGACGGGTCTAGATTCACCAGGACACCTGTGCTAACCAATGTCCGCCCAGGCCGGGCCCCGCAGCCCGGGGTCCACACGCCAGACTCCTCATCCTGCAAGGCCAATGCCCGTGTTCCCACTTCAGAGATGAGAAAACAGGGCCCAGACAGACCAGGCGAGTGACAAGTCCCATTCACCCCCAGCAAGCGGCAGGACTGGAATTAGAAGCAGGCCTTCCCTTTCCAGTTTTACGCTGTGGTAACTAAACACCCGACTTGTGCGTGCAACACTTTCCTCATAAAGCCTGCAGCGCAGCCCACGCCCCTCCTCCTGCACAGCAGAACCGTGACCGAAGCCAGAGGGGAAGCCCTGAGATCCCGGGAGGGAGCTTGTCACCGAGGCGGTTTCCTTCACAGTGAACAAAAGGCAGCTGCTACCCGTCCTCTGGGGCAAAGTGGATGGCATCCTTCATGTCTCATTTCCACTTCCCTTTAGAGCAGTGGTTCTCAACCTTGGCTGCACATTAGAATCACCTGGGAATCTTTATAAAATCCTGATTTCTGGGCCTCATCCTCCGGAAATTCTTTCTTTGTTTTATGGG